CATCTATCTACTTGTTAAATAATGTGATTGATAATTATAAAATTTGAATATTTATATGACGTGAATCTAGTGGTTTGTGATGCAGTTGACGTGATACCCTTGTGGTACCATATACCCTTGTGGTACCATAAACTTTCTCGAGACAAAAACAAAAATCTCCATCCTCTGATTTTCTCCACCAGCTCACTGTCCACTCTACACACCAATCAGCCAAAGAATCACCAGCTGTGCATGTTTCACATTATCCCAAGAACAAAAAAAACAAAACCAAAAGAAGATCTCTCCAACAAATTTAAAATATCTTTTAGCTCAAACAATTCCCCGTGCACTCAACAAAAAGCCTGTGATTTTCCTTGATCTTGATTCCTACTTTAAAGATTTTATCCTTATAAAGCCACTCCTCCATCCTCACCCATTTCTCTATACTCACAAAATGAAACTCTTCTTCTTCGTTTTTGTCATTGCCCTTGTCTTCTGTCAGGTGAATTAATATAATGCAGTTTGAGATTTTATACTAAGAATTTGAGGTTTGATTTTCTTATCGACTGTTCTTTAACTTGCAGGCATTGGCAGAGGCTTCATTGTATGGTAATGCAGTGAATAATCGTACTAATGTGAGTCTCATTACTCCACTTTCTTACATATTTATGCTTTGGGAAGTGCTTTCCAAATAAAATGTTTTGCATAAATTCATATAGAAAAATCAAATAGCTGACGGTTAATCTTAATTAAAATCTCTACAGATTGAGCGAGATGATGAAGTGAGTGAGGTGTTCGCTCTTCACAAAAAGCATCATTCTGGGAAAATCAGTAAGATCTTCAATTGCGTATCCATCTGTTATGTGAATTGGAAACTATTTATAAATAACTTCATTCAACAATATAAATTTGGATTAATGACAATAATCCCATTGAACAACAAAAATCCTCTTTAATTTTCTGAAATATTCATCTACTGTTAAATTTTTTGAGTATTATAATAAAAAAAATAATAATTAAAAAAATGTTTATTAATAATAGGTGAATTTTTGTTACTTTAACAACTTCAAGAGGATTTTTATTATTTAATTAAACCTTAGAGGGCATATTTTTACTTTATTAATCTTGTAAATGTTCTCAAATGTAACATTTTATGGGACATAATATACTAAAATATCATGTCGATGATGTTGTAATTTATTATAAATCGTTATATTAAACACTATGGCTTCGTTTGGTTGGATTTTGGGAATACTACTTTTAGTATTCCCAAAAAAGTTAAACAGTAAAATACCCAAAAACTCACAATATTATTCAACTTTATTCAACATTTTTTAAACCCCATAAATTTGTTAATTCAATTAAATACCCCTAAATATTTTTAATGTTTTTGTTACGATGACTCCGGCCACCCTCCGGCGGTGGTGGCCNTAGTATAACCTCATCCCTTGCAGATATCGACCACTGTTTCACCATCAGAGAGGATATTTTACGTATCCAAACTCTCACTGCCAACCATACACTTTCTGCTGATTCAGCTGAATTTTCCATGCGAGCTTTGCAACGACATCTCCAGAGGCGCCAGGAAATGATAGAGGGAATGAGACCGAGAAGGACCCCTCTGTGGCTCGACTTCATGGCCGCATTAAACCACTGCATTACCGTCAACCACCAAGGAAGTCCCTGAGCATAATTCATACCCAGCATGCTGGCTGCCTTTTTCCATACCTCTGCCGCAATACTCCCATTACAAAGAACATGATTTAATGTTTCAATGTGTCCCTGAGCACAGCAATTACACCGAGATGCCAACGGGATTCCAAGCCTTTGCACCCGAGAGTCCAGCGCTAACCCATTAAACCGAGCTTTCCACATGCAAACAGAGATATTCCGCGGAAGATAGTGATGCCAGATCCAGCCCATGCCAAGATGCTCAGTTCCTTTCACACGTATAAGGTCCTATGCAGAAGCCGACGTGAGCACTCCCTTAACCTCTGGTTTCCAAATGGTAATATCCGTACCCACCTTACCAGCCACCACTCCACAAGATCCACCAGAACATTCTCATCCCATGAACCATCAATCCAAACATCTTTGATCTTGAGCTGAGAGAGCCCTGATTCACGACTAGCACCTAAAGGTCCACTTGCCAGCCACCTATCAAACCAAAATGAAGAACTGCCCTCTCTAACCTTAACAAGCACATTTTCGGCCACTTCAGGAAATACCTTCATAATAGACTTCCAGAAACGGGAAGCATTTCTTCTGGTTTCAGCTAAAAAAATGTGGCCGTGTTTCACATATTTTGCCCGGAAGAACTTGGTCCAAAGGTATGTTTATACACTTGCTGAATGCTGAATGATGATTTGTGATTGGGGGACATCGAGTAGATGATCCTTGATGGTGGCATTGCGAAATATCATCTATTTGAATTCTAAAACCAATATCATTCTGTAGATGTGCTCATGCTGACTATGTGAAACAAGTACGTAATCTTGGCGGTGGTGGGGCCGCTGGGTATTCAGCTAGCGAGTTTGTAAGCAAGGTGTCAAGAGAGGAGAGTGGCAATTACTCCAAAGAAGCAGTGGTCCAATGAACGCCCCACACTTAGCAGGAATATCTCTCCCTGGAGAAACCGCTAGACTTCCATATTTCCAGTGTGTGTTGGAACAAGTGGAGAGAGACAGCATCCTGAGTGGTACACAGAGAAAGGAATAAAATGATACTTAGCACAGAAATTATCAAGTAGATTGCTTCCAAGGCTCTTGTTAGTGCATCTGGCCAAGTCTTCAGGTATCAAACATTGATAATTGCAACTGGTTCCACACGGTAAGGTTGACAGATTTGGGTTACAAGGAACTGATGCGAAAAATATCTTCTACTTGAGAGAATTGATGATGCTGATGATTGATTAAAGCAGTTAAAGCAAAGAAGAAGAGGAAGGCTGTGATTGTTGGAGGAGGATATATGGTTCTTGAGGTTAGTGCAGCTTTCCAAAGGAACAATTTGGATGTTACTATGGTTTATTTTGAGCCATGGTGTGGGCCTGGTTCTTCAGTGGTATTGCTAATTTTATGAGGGTTATTATGCCAATAAAAGAATCAAAATATTAAGGGAACAGTTGCTGCTGGATTCACAATTGACTCTAATAGAGACGTCAAAGAAGTGACATAAGGATGGCGGGTGCTAGAAGCCGACATTGTTTTTGTTGATGTAGGAACTAGACCTTCACATCTATTCGAGGGGCAGGTTGAAGAGGGAAGGGGTGGAATAAAGACTGATGCATTTTTCCGGACAGTGTTCTAATGTTTATGCTGTAGGAGAGTTGCACTTTCCTTTGAAATTGTGCAATGAGATGAGAAGAGTTGAGCATGTTGACCATGCCTATAAATCAGCTGAGCAGGCTGTGAAGGCCATCAAGGCAAGTGAGGAAGGCAAAACAATTGAGGAATATGACTACCTCCCTTACTTTTTTTTCTCGTTCTTTGATCCTCATGGAAGTTCTATGGTAGCAATGGTGGGAAAGAGATTACTGGTTGGAGACAATGATCCTGGATCAGAAAAGAATAAGTTTGGAACGTTTGGATAGAAAAGGGCAAGATTATTGGAGCTTTCCTTATGAATGGGACTTCTCAAGAAAATGAGGCCATTGCCAAAGTGCTAGGGTCCAGCCTCCAGTTGATTATTTGGATGTGCTGAAGAAGGAGCTGGGTTTTCCTCTAAAGAAACAGACAGGTGAGAAATATAATATAATTAAAGGTTGATATACAATTTAGAAAAGATAGTTTACTCAAATTCAATATAAATATTTAAAAAAAAAAAAAAATTGTCTCAACATGGAAGCTAGTTTTTATGTCAATAAACTCGACAATGAAACTAGTATGTATAAATGTTACCTTAAAGGAAAAATTGGGAATACTTGACATTTTGTTTTGTCTTCCATTTTATAAAGCATGAAAAGTTGTATCGTATATAGAATAAGAAAAAAAAAAATCTAGAAACGTAAAGCATTGCAAAAATACTCTTGGTGGAACAGTCTACATATGTTTGACATTTCATTGAATAAAATGTCATCACCTTATCATGTTATCCATATGCCATAACTGCATCTATTTTCTTTTTGCACTATTGTGATAGGTTTATTTCTCATAAATGCATATGTGATTAGATCCTGTCGGATTTTATATTAGTGATGAAAAACCTGTTAAAAAATTTATAGAATTAAAAAGCTTCAAAAGCAATCCAGAGTTCAAAAGTTTGATCATGAGGATCAGTAAATAATGCCTTAAAAAAAGATAGCTATTGTTACATTAAAAATAATTTGTGGTTTTACCATGTAATTTAAAAAGTGAAGTGTGTATGGAGTTTGTAATCGAATTTTGTATGAAAGATGATTTAATGTGTTAGTTTATATATCATTACTTTTGTTAATTAAAAGTAAAAGTTCTTTTATGGAAGTTGTGTTAGCTTATTCTTTGTTTCTTGAGTTGGCCTCTTTGGTCAATGAATAAATATGTTAAATAGTGTATCGTAATAACTTCATTATCATAAGACATTTTGCTTAGTTATATATTTATGTTATCTTGAATTGAACTTTTTCAATTAAGAAATATCAAATATTTGAGCTAATTCGAATATCATACTTTCGTAGAGCTGGCAGGGCTGATTATGAATTCAAGTATGTGACTTGGTGGTGGCATGGCTGCTGGTATGCAGCTAGGGAATTTGTTAAGCAGGTATTAAGCGAGGAGAGTTGGCAATTATCTCGAAAGAAGATGTGGTCCATATGAACGTCCCACACTTAGCAAGGAATATCTTCCTCCTGAGACACCTGAGACTTCCATATTTCATGTGTGTGGTTGGAAGTTGAGGAGGAAAGACAACTTCCTGAGTGGTACAGACAAAGGAATAAAATTGATCCTTAGCACAGAAATTGTTCGGTAGACCTTTCTTCCAAGGCACTTTTAGTGCATCTGGTGAAGTTCAGGTAATCAAACATTGATAATTGCAACTGGTTGGCAATGGATCGGTGGACAGAGTCAGGTGTGCAAGGAGCTGATGCGAAAAAATCTTCTACTTGAAAGAAATTGATGATGCTGAAAGTTGGTTGAAGCAATCAGGAAAAGAAAAATGGGAAGGCTGTGTAATTACAAGAAGTTTATTGGTCTGAGGTTAGTGAACTTTTAAAAGAACAATTTTGACGTCAGCATGGTTTTTTCTGAAGATGGTTTATTCGGTGGTTCAATTCTGTAATTGGCTTCCTATCATTCTTATTATAAATCAAAAGGAATCAAAATTTTGGAAGCGCTCATGCAGTTGGGTTTAGGCTAACGCTAGTGGAGAGGTCAGCAGGAAGTGAAACTAAATGATGGCACTGTGCTGGAAGCTGACATGTGATTGTTTATGGAATTAAAGCTAATAATATCATTACTTCAGGGTCAGTTTGAACAGCAGTTGGGAGGAATAAAGACTGATGCATTTTTCAGGACAAGTGTTTGATGTTTATGCTGTGGAGATGTGGCTACTTGCCTTCGAAATTGTACGGTAATGAGAATATTTATGGGTTCCAGGAGTTGACCATGCTCGCAAATCAGCTGAGCAAGCTGTGAAGGCCATCAAGGCAAGTGAGGAAGGCAACGCAATTGATGAATATGACTACCTCTCACATTTATTTTCGCTCCTTTGATCTTTCATGGCATTTATACGGTTTTCCTGATGGCCAGTTGGTGATGTTTGGAGAAATGGATCATATATACCCCTGCAAGTTAGGAGCATACTGGATCAAAAAGGGAAGGTTGAGGGAACTTTCCTGCAGAATGGGACTCCGAAGAAAGCGAGGCATGGCCGAAGTTGCTGGTCCAGCCCCAAGTTTCTAATTTGAATGAACTGAAGGAGCAGGGTCTTTCCTTTGCAAGAAAATTTTGAGAATTCAAGGCAGCACTATCTATATCTATATTTAGGTTGCTTGTAGATTCCGGTTTGCTAACTTACAATGAATCTATATTTGCCTATAATTTTTTGTGCTTCGCTACAAAAAATAAATTAATAAATTAATTATATTTCCTACCAACATTTCTAGGGCCCCCTAGAAAAAAGGTATATTACAATTGATAATAAAAACAATATATCAAACTGCCTGCGGAAATTGGTTACATTTGATATTAATTTAAATGTGAGGGAGTGTGACATCTGATGGGACCGACGAATCTAAATGATTGATCATAAGAGGACTTAAATTAAATAGATGTATTCTTTTATTGGATTTCATAAAGTCCAAAGTCCAGACGACATCGTTTTAAGATCTGATTATAAAATCTTATTATTTTATCTCTCACGTTTATTTTTATAATAATACTACACTTCGAAGAATCTTACAAAGATTTTCATACAAAAAGAGGTGGTAAAAAATAAATGAAAAAGTAAAACAAAAAGCAAACCTATTATATCACTCTCCATTCATTTTTTGCCACATCATTGTACGAAGATTTTTGTAATATTTCTTATAAATATAGCATTACTCTTATTTTTATTTTTTTTTATTTTTTTTATTTTTAATAAAAAGGACGAAGTCACCTATTGTGCCTTCCTCCCAATTTTATTACCAAGCCTCACTTTGGCTGAGGAAAGCCGTGGAACAACACTGGAAAAAACCAACTGGAACACTCAACCTCAAACGAAACCAAAAAAAAAAAAAAAAAAAAGAAACCATCAAGAACCAGCCTCCCAAACTCAAGTTAACCGCCTGAGCGAGGCAAACCCGCCTGTCCATCCGAAGTATGCCTTTCAACTCCCTGGGTAACGACATAAATACAGAAATGTGATAGAGTTACCCTCCTCTCCCCGGCGAGCGAGGAAGTCGCTGCAGTGTTCCCTTCGGGAATTGATGAGAGATGATGAAATGCACCTTCTTAACAGTGACAAAAGCTCATCCCAGTAGTCCATATACAAGCCGTGCACTGCGACTACATCAACCAGGAAACCACCAAGTGGAATCACTCTCGATATTCAACTGACTAAAACCCAATCCTTACACAGAGGAAACACCCGCAATCAACGCTTTCAATTCAGCTTCATTATTAGTTCCTGCCCGAAATAAGAAGAAAAAGGCCTTTAAAGTTCCCTAGCGTATCTCGAATGACACCTCCTCCCCCACAGTTGCCCAGATTGCCCCGGCAACTGCCATACAACATTCAGTTTAATCACCCTTCGGCGGTTTCCTCCAATAAACAACTTCGGAATAATTCGTGACCTCCCCACATACAGGCACTCAGATCCCATAGTCTTTCTTTTTTTAAACAAAAATTGCAAATTTGCAAATGTTTGCTATTTTTACAGATAAAATATAGAATTAAAAAAAAAAAAAAAAACCCAGATAATGGATCACCTTAAACTTTTTTATTGGAATTCACATACATCATTCCCAACTACTTTGCCCTGCATCTGTTTTCAATTTGTGGTGCTACATGTAGAAACTAAATATACAAATTGAAGTATCACTATTCTTTTATTGACATGGCATTTATCTATGAGCAATATTAGTTTTACAAAGATACATACAAAGGGGGCATACAAAGACAATCTCTACCCTTGATTTTCATGATTTCTCTCTCTCTCTCTTTCTCTTTTTTTCGGCTTTTCTTTGTTTTTTTCTCCTAGATGATGTCACTTTGTAACCCTCTTTGTATAGGTCTTTGTAAGAATAACATTTTTCTTCCTTTATATGTATTAGGAAGTTATTGAGTTGACTTTTTGTCTGCATTCATCTATTAACTTTATGACACATATCTTTGCACGAAAGAGCTTGTACATCTAGTATCATCTGTTTTGTTTTGTTTAATTTCTTTGTTTCTTAAACTGATGATTCTTGTGGATGTGTTATAGTAAATCTTTTCTCTTTATATACATTTATGTTATCTTGAACTCTTAACTTTTATGATTGAGATTGAATGCTAAAACCAATATCATCTTTTGTAGACGTGCTGATGCTGATTATGAATACAAGTACGTAATCCTTGGTGGTGGTGTGGCTGCTGGGTATGCAGCTAGAGAGTTTGTTAAGCAAGGTGTCAAGAGAAGAGAGCTTGCAGTTATCTCGAAAGAAGCAGTCGCTCCATATGAACGCCCCACACTTAGCAAGGAATATCTTCTCCCTAAGAAACCTGCTACACTTCCAGATTTCTATGTGTGTGTTGGAAGTGGAGGAGAGAGACTGCTTCTGGACTGGTACACAGAGAAAGGAATAGAATTGATCCTTAGCACAGAAATTATTCAAGTAGATCTTGCTTCCAAGGCTCTTGTTAGTGCATCTGGCCAAGTTTTCAGGTATAAAACATTGATAATTGCAACTGGTTCCACACCGGTAAGGTTGACAGATTTTGGTGTACAAGGAACTGATGCGAAAAATATTTTCTACTTGAGAGAAATTGATGATGCTGATAAGTTGGTTGAAGCGATTGAGGAGAAGAAGAATGGGAAGGCTGTGATAATTGGAGGAGGATATATAGCTCTTGAAGTTAGTGCAGCTTTGAGAATCAACAATTTTGATGTTACTATGGTTTATCCCGAGCCATGGTGCATGCCTCAACTCTTCATTGCCGGTATTGCTGCTTTCTATGAGGGTTATTATGCTTATAAAGGGATCAGAATTGTTAAGGGAACAGATCTTGTTGGATTTACAGCTGACTCTAATGGCAGTGTCAAAGAAGTAAAACTAAAGGATGGCAGAGTGCTGGAAGCCGACATTGTTTTTGTTGATATAGAAACTAGACCTCTCACATCATTATTCACGGGACAGGTTGAAGAGGAGAGGGGTGGAATAAAGACCGATGCATTTTTTAGGACAAGTGTTCCTGATGTGTATGCTGTGGGAGATGTCGCTACTTTTCCTGTGAAATTGTACAATGAGATGAGAAGAGTTGAGTATGTTGACCATGCCTACAAATCAGCTGAGCATGTTGTGAAGGTCATCAAGGCAAATGAGAAAGGCAAAGCGATTGATGAGTATGACTACTTCCCTTACTTCTATTCTCGAGTCTTTGATCTCTCATGGCATTTTTATGGTGAAACTGTTGGTGAGACGGTGCTATTTAGAAACTGGAATCCAGCATGTTCACTGCGTAAGTTTGGAACATACTGGATAAAAGAGGGGAAGATTGTTGGAGCATTCCTTGAGAGTGGGACCCTTGAAGAAAATAAGACGATTGCCGAAGTTGCTAGGCTTCAGCCTACTGTTGATAATTTAGATGTCATAATAAAGGAGTTGGGTCATTCCTCGAAAGCAATATACAGGTGAGAAACGTTATAATCTAAAAGTGCTAATGGTATATTAACTATTCTTTGCAACCAAGTTTTTATCTTTATCACTTGAAACACAAAAGGTCGAGGTACAAACATAGGAAAGGTAGTAGTACTTAAATTCAATATATATACAAAAAGAAAGCTGTTGTGTCTATTCCTAAGCTATTTTTTCATCTCAGTTATACAAAAAATGAGGTAAAGTATTTGTTATTGATACCTTTATCCTGATGATTCATTTCTTTGTAATCCATCCGTGGAAGGATTTTCTCTGTGATCGTAATTTTGTTAATTTTCAAACTAGTGTTAGGTTCGGATTAATTTATCTCTGATTTAAAGATAATTAACAAATATTTTTTTTCTTTCATTTAACTTATATCCGGATATATCTCAAATCAAGCATGTGGTGAAAATCCATGGGTTTAGATGTAACTAACATTAGTTGCATTTTGATATTATATCTTTTGCTCTCTATTGTGAAACTTTATGTTGTATACCACTTAGCTGAATGCTGAAATTGATGATTTGTGATTGAGACATCGAGTAGATGATCCTTGATGGTGGCATTGCGAAATATCATCTATTTGAATTCTAAAACCAATATCATCTTCTGTAGATGTGCTCATGCTGACTATGAATACAAGTACGTAATCCTTGGCGATGGTGTGGCCGCTGGGTATTCAGCTAGCGAGTTTGTTAAGCAAGGTGTCAAGAGAGGAGAGCTGGCAATTATCTCCAAAGAAGCAGTGGCTCCATATGAACGCCCCACACTTAGCAAGGAATATCTTCTCCCTGAGAAACCTGCTAGACTTCCATATTTCCACGTGTGTGTTGGAACAAGTGGAGAGAGACAGCATCCTGAGTGGTACACAGAGAAAGGAATAAAATTGATACTTAGCACAGAAATTATTCAAGTAGATCTTGCTTCCAAGGCTCTTGTTAGTGCATCTGGCCAAGTCTTCAGGTATCAAACATTGATAATTGCAACTGGTTCCACACCGGTAAGGTTGACAGATTTGGGTGTACAAGGAACTGATGCGAAAAATATCTTCTACTTGAGAGAAATTGATGATGCTGATGAATTGATTAAAGCAGTTAAAGCAAAGAAGAAGAGGAAGGCTGTGATTGTTGGAGGAGGATATATTGGTCTTGAGGTTAGTGCAGCTTTCCAAAGGAACAATTTGGATGTTACTATGGTTTATTTTGAGCCATGGTGTGGGCCTTGGTTCTTCACTGCTGGTATTGCTACTTTCTATGAGGGTTATTATGCCAATAAAAGAATCAAAATTATTAAGGGAACAGTTGCTGCTGGATTCACAATTGACTCTAATAGAGACGTCAAAGAAGTGACACTAAAGGATGGCAGGGTGCTAGAAGCCGACATTGTTTTTGTTGATGTAGGAACTAGACCTCTCACATCATTATTCGAGGGGCAGGTTGAAGAGGAGAAGGGTGGAATAAAGACTGATGCATTTTTCCGGACAAGTTTTCCTAATGTTTATGCTGTAGGAGATGTTGCTACTTTCCCTTTGAAATTGTGCAATGAGATGAGAAGAGTTGAGCATGTTGACCATGCCTATAAATCAGCTGAGCAGGCTGTGAAGGCCATCAAGGCAAGTGAGGAAGGCAAAACAATTGAGGAATATGACTACCTCCCTTACTTTTTTTCTCGTTCTTTTGATCTCTCATGGAAGTTCTATGGTAGCAATGGTGGAAAGAGATTACTGGTTGGAGACAATGATCCTGGATCAGAAAAGCATAAGTTTGGAACGTTTTGGATAGAAAAGGGCAAGATTATTGGAGCTTTCCTTATGAATGGGACTTCTCAAGAAAATGAGGCCATTGCCAAAGTTGCTAGGGTCCAGCCTCCAGTTGATTATTTGGATGTGCTGAAGAAGGAGCTGGGTTTTCCCTCTAAAGAAACAGACAGGTGAGAAATATAAATATAATTAAAGGTTGATATACAAATTTAGAAAAGATAGTATTACTCAAATTCAATATAAATATTTAAAAAAAAAAAAAAAAATTGTCTCAACATGGAAGCTAGTTTTTATGTCAATCAACCTCGACAATGAAACATAGTATTGTATAACTGTTACCTTAAAGGAAAATTGGGAATACTTGACATTTTGTTTTTGTCTTCCATTTTATAAAGCATGAAAAGTTGTATCGTATTATAGAATAAGAAAAAAAAAATCTAGAAACGTAAAGCATTTGACAAAAATACTCTTGGTGGAACAGTCCTACCATATTGTTTGACATTTCATTGAATAAAATGTCATCACCTTATCATGTTATCCATATGCCATAACTGCATCTATTTTCTTTTTGCTCTATTGTGATAGGTTTATTTTCTCAATAAATGCATATGTGATTAGATCCTGTCGGATTTTATATTAGTGATGCAAAAACCTGTTAAAAATTTATAGAATTTAAAAAGCTTCAAAAGCAATCCAGAGTTCAAAAAGTTTGATCATGAGGATCAGTAAATAATGCCTTAAAAAAAGATAGCTATTGTTACATTAAAAATAATTTGTGGTTTTTACCATGTAATTTAAAAAGTGAAGTTGTGTATGGAAGTTTGTAACTCGAATTTTGTATGAAAGATGATTTAATGTGTTAGTTTTATATATCATTACTTTTGTTAATATTAAAAGTAAAAGTTTCCTTTTATGGAAGTTGTGTTAGCTTATTCCTTTGTTTCTTGAGTTGGCCTCTTTGGTCAATGAATAAATATGTTAAATAGTGGTATCGTAATAACTTCATTATACATAAGACATTTTGCTTAGTTATATATTTATGTTATCTTGAAATTGAACTTTTTCAATTAAGAAATATCAAATATTTGAATGCTAATTCGAATATCATCTTTCGTAGAGCTGGCAGGGCTGGTTATGAATTCAAGTATGTGATCCTTGGTGGTGGCATGGCTGCTGGATATGCAGCTAGGGAATTTGTTAAGCAAGGTATTAAGCGAGGAGAGTTGGCAATTATCTCGAAAGAAGATGTGGCTCCATATGAACGTCCCACACTTAGCAAGGAATATCTTCTCCCTGAGACACCTGCTAGACTTCCATATTTCCATGTGTGTGTTGGAAGTGGAGGAGAAAGACAACTTCCTGAGTGGTACACAGACAAAGGAATAAAATTGATCCTTAGCACAGAAATTGTTCGGCTAGACCTTTCTTCCAAGGCACTTGTTAGTGCATCTGGTGAAGTCTTCAGGTATCAAACATTGATAATTGCAACTGGTTGGCAATGGATCAGGTGGACAGAGTCAGGTGTGCAAGGAGCTGATGCGAAAAATATCTTCTACTTGAAAGAAATTGATGATGCTGATAAGTTGGTTGAAGCAATTCAGGAAAAGAAAAATGGGAAGGCTGTGATAATTACAAGAAGTTATATTGGTCTTGAGGTTAGTGAAGCTTTTAAAAGGAACAATTTTGACGTCAGCATGGTTTTTTCTGAAGACTGGTTTATTCGGTGGTTCAATTCTGTAATTGCTGCTTCCTATCATTCTTATTATAAATCAAAAGGAATCAAAATTTTTGGAAGCGCTCATGCAGTTGGGTTTATGGCTAACGCTAGTGGAGAGGTCAAGGAAGTGAAACTAAATGATGGCACTGTGCTGGAAGCTGACATTGTGATTGTTAATATAGGAATTAAAGCTATTACATCATTACTTCAGGGTCAGTTTGAACAGCAGTTGGGAGGAATAAAGACTGATGCATTTTTCAGGACAACTGTTCCTGATGTTTATGCTGTGGGAGATGTGGCTACTTGCCCTTCGAAATTGTACGGTAATGAGAATATTTTATGGGTTCCAGGAGTTGACCATGCTCGCAAATCAGCTGAGCAAGCTGTGAAGGCCATCAAGGCAAGTGAGGAAGGCAACGCAATTGATGAATATGACTACCTCCCTCACATTTATTTTCGCTCCTTTGATCTTTCATGGCATTTATACGGTTTTCCTGATGGCCAGTTGGTGATGTCTGGAGAAATGGATCATATATCACCCCTGCATAAGTTAGGAGCATACTGGATCAAAAATGGGAAGGTTGAGGGAACTTTCCTGCAGAATGGGACTCCAGAAGAAAGCGAGGCCATGGCCGAAGTTGCTAGGGTCCAGCCCCAAGTTTCTAATTTGAATGAACTGAAGGAGCAGGGTCTTTCCTTTGCAAGAAAATTTTGAGAATTCAAGGCAGCACTATCTATATCTATATTTAGGTTGCTTGTAGATTCCGGTTTAGCTAACTTACAATGAATCTATATTTGCCTATAATTTTTTGTTGCTTCGCTACAAAAAAATAAATTAATAAATTAATTATATTTCCTACCAACAATTTCTAGGGCCCCCTAGAAAAAAGGTATATTACAATTGATTAATAAAAACAATATATCAAACTGCCCTGGGAAATTGGTTACATTTGATATTAATTTAAAATGTGAGGGAGTGTGATCATTCTGATGGGACCGACGAATCTAAATGATTTGATCATAAGAGGACTTAAATAGATGTTATTCTTTTATTGGATTTCATAAAGTCCAAAGTCCAGACGACATCGTTTTAAGATCTGATTTCATAAAATCTTATTATTTTATTTCTCTCACGTTTATTTTTACAATAATACTACACTTACGAAGAAATCTTATAAAGATTTTCATACAAAATGAGGTGGTAAAAAATAAATGAAAAAGTAAAACAAAAAATCATACCTATTATATTCACTCTTCCATTCATTTTTTGCCACATCACTTTGTACGAAGATTTTTGTAATATTTCTTTGTAAATATAGCATTACTCTTATTTTTATTTGCTCTCCCCAATTTCCTTGTTTACATACAAAGAGATGTGCAAGGCAATGGCAAAGCCATCACCTACGGCACGTGCTTGCGCTGCAATAGCATCTCGTGGAGTCGCCGTCGCAGCAGGTCACAGAGCCACAGTAGTTGACGGCATCTAGGCTAGCAGCGCAACGACACCGTGAGCAGCTAATTTCTTTCTTGTTTCCCAAAATAATTATTTATTTGTTTATGGATATTGAAAGGTTTATTGAGTTTAGCTATCAACCATACATGATGTTCTTATTATTTCCAGTCTACAAGTAGCCGGATCACTTAAATTTTCCATCCAAGATGTAGGGATATTATAATAGAAGAAAGTCTCGATAGTGGATTTGGTTGCGTATATGTGATAAGCATTTTGCTTGTACAAATGCAATTTCTTGACTGAATTTACTTATTTCGGTCTCCTCATTCATTAAATATTACACTTTGATTTTTAAACAATTAATCAAAATGAATAAATGCATATCTTCCACATCTCATTCAATATATATAATTCCTTGGTGTTTTCTTTGCATTGTGCTGCAGACTTTTTTCTTTTTTCAAACTTGATAGATTTATTCTTGCTTTTATGCTTTATTGAACAGATTAATTTTCATTTTTCTTCGCTATTTCAATTTCTTTATTCACTTATCTTTGCTAATTTAATTGCTTTATGCTTCTTTTTTCTCTTTCTTGAAGTCCTCCATTTTCTCCATCCTTATGCTGAAGAAATACACCTTCTATCAAAGTCTTATACTTATATTTTTAACATAATTCAAGGATAATTCTAACATTAAAATGAAAATAATTAAAACAAATAGTCAATGTCGAACTCAAAATGGACCCTAATATCTAAACTTTACATTGGATGTACAGGTTTAATTTATGAATGAGGAAAAAAAATGGGAAACTTTGTCATCTTCACTAAAGAATTATAATAATAATTTCCCACCAGTAAAAGAGACAATGAACAAGTTAAAAAAATAACCCAAAAAATATAGGTTTTCCAAGGATGACCCTTCATCCATCTTAATTTTTTATACCCTTTTTCTATAACTACCTCCACTTTAATTTTACAATACCATCACTTTACATATTAATTTCTCTTCAAACTTGTCTCCTTAATATTCCCCCCATAGTTAATAATTTGTTGATGTTTTATCTCTTACCTCCCCTGAGGTTTCAATTTAAAGAATAGCATCAGGTGTCTTTGATAGAGTGTAATTGCATAACAATTTAAAAAAGAAGGCTGATATCCAATCGCTATATATGATGGAGCTGAATTAATGGTTTTAAAGAATACCCTTAACTTTCTTTTTCGAACTAAGCATGTTTAGTTTCATCAGAAGTCTTAAGAGTCATGTTAGTGTTCAGTTTAATTATTGTTTAATATTAGGATTCCTAGTTTAACTCATATATAAAGGAGTGTGTTTGTCAGCTTATATATGAGAAGAAAAACATTTCTTCCTCCCTTTTGTGTTGTTTTAGCTTGATTGCGTTGGTACTATATTATGATTTATCAAAAATTTCTTATAGTTTTCTCTTTTCCTACTTTTTCAGTACTATAGGTTTAGAGAAAAATATTACGAACTGAGGTTTCTGGGAAAATAATTTCTGTTCAAATGTAAGAGAAGAGATATAATAGCTTATATAGTTTTAGAAGAAGAGAGGAAACGAAACCTACTAACTGAAGCTGTAACTAATAAACAGAAAGACTTAACAGCAAACTAACAATTTGAATTTGGAAACAAGCTAACTGTTGACTTTGTTGTCTCCTAGTTTTAGCTTATAACTCTAAGATCCTCCCTTGAGCTAAAACTTGTGATAAGTCTCAACATCCTCCCTTAAATCAGACCTGTTGTCTTGAACCGGTTCAGTAAACGTCAAGACAAATGAGTGGCCCTCACTAATGCTGACTTGTGTTTAATATCTTCATTTCTTAGCTTTATAATAAATATGATTGTCGAAGTGATCATCCTTCACTTCCAGATTCAAAGCAGGCAAGACTGAACTTCTCAGGTATGCAAGAGCTTGAGATGCTAATACAAATACTCAATTCAATTGTACATAATAAAGAAATTGAGTGTTGTGAATTTTTATACAAATTGAACAATAGTTGGATGTAAAACATTTTCCTTTCTTTATTTTAACTTTTATTTTTCAGTTCATTGATGCGTAATTTGCAAATTTGTGATGGTATCTCAGATTCTGGAATTGATGGACCCTTACCACATTGACAACAAATTGTGCATATTTAATTTCAGAAAATTGCAATGGAAAATTCAAGGGAAAACAGAGGATAAAAAGGAGACAAACTGAAAAGGAGAACCCCAAGAAATTGGTATGTAACACAAGCACGATTCCGTAGAAACTTAGTATAGTTTTGGGATTGTTGCAGCTTTAACTTTAATCACTTCATTCTTAAAAACTGTTTGGTAAACTACTTTTGGAAGTAATTATAATTCAGTGCTATTCTAAAATGATCAGTTTCATAAATGATTTCCAAAGCTACCAACAACTAATTTGGGATTGTTGTAACTTTAAGTTTAATCAATTTAACTCAACTTTGGAAATAATCAGCTTTGGAAAGCTTCGCGGCCAAATGGCATGTCGGAATCCAGTGGAACCACGAAATCTGACAGATCAACGTCCTCCGGTTCAGATAGGATAGGCGGTGGCTCCATCACACCTTGCCAGAGGTGGCCAGATTCCTTATTGCATAAATAATATTGTATTGTAATTTATATTAAAATTATATTATATTAAAAATTAGTTAATTAAATCAATTAAATATAAATTTGTATAAGGAAAACATATATTTGTTTAAAAGGAGACGCTACAGTACACTTTATGTTTAATATGGTTCTTCATTACACAGTAGCGTTTTATTTGGTCTTAAAGTTGGTTTTATGCAATTAAGGTAAACAAATGTATAGGAAGAAGAAAGTGTAGATTAGTCAGAATAAGCAGTCCTATGTTTTGCTCTGTTTTGCTGACAAAAGTTAATTTGTATGGTGTAGAATTGATGGCTCAAAATAGCAGTGGGGAAATGAGTGTAAAGGATTTTGTGTTAATGATTGGCTGAATATTAAAACACCATCTCAAGTTTGGAATAAATTAAATAGCTATGAACTTTATTGTTTAAGCGATTTAACACATATCGCTTAAGAGATAAGTTTATAGATAAGTCTATATTGCTTAAGCGATAAGCTTATATCGCTTAAGCAAATGGTCATTTAGTAAAGAGTTTCAAAACTTCATGACTATTTAATTTATTTCAAACTTGAAATTGTACTTTAATTAATTTTTCCTAACGACCGTTGCATTAATTAATCAAGGAAGAACTTATGGTATCTCAAATTCTGTTATTAATTAATTTCTATACCTTCTAATGATGACTCTTATGAAGAACATTCAAATTTTGTTTGTACTCTTTGTGTAAAATTAAGATGATTTGTATAAAAAATTTGTTAGTTGCTTCTTTGATTTATTAGTAGAGAGAAAAATTTTCAATCTACAGATCCTGTCTACTTTCTTCTATTTTCTTGCATCGTTGAAATTAATATTATTGACCTCTCATACGTTTTGGTGTGCTAAAATTATCCAAAAAGTTGCTTGGAAATTAACCATAACAGGCTAAAATATGACACAAGTCATAATCAAAACAAAATAGATTTATTAGGTGGTATGACCGTGCAAAAGCAAACTTCTGCTGTGGTACGACCGTGCATGAGCAAGGCACGATTGCTCAATAGAAGAAAGTTGCCTAGATGAACGTGCAATTTCGCACGACATCGTTCCTCATAGTCGTTGATCATTCTGCCAAGTTGAGTGGCACTTGCACGACCATCCTACATGATCGTGCGCTCAAGTCAAAAAGTTAAGATAATTCAAATTCATAATGTTTCGCACTCTTGACTTCGTTTCAAATGTCAAAGTCAAAACTCAAAGTTCAAAATTGGAACTATCATTCCTTGTGGTAGAATGACCATTTGTATTTGAGGAGTTTTGCACGACATCGTTCCAAGAAGTCGTTCACGCTTCTGGAAAATTAAGTGGGTTTGGAAGAGCATTTGGATGTGATCATTCCGCGTGATGGAATGATCATGTGTTGCCCTTGCACGATCATACGATGTGGTGGAATGATCATTCTACTTAACCTAGATCTGAGAAAATATGACTGTTGTATCAGGAACAACCGTTTGCAATCATGGAACTACCATTCTTCTGGGTTCTATAGACTTTAGCAGAACTACATTAAATGCTACAATGGCTAATCTTTTTAGGGTTATAAAAGCTCGACATTTTTAGGTAATATGAGAGAGAAGAGTCATACTAAATCAAAAAACATTCTTATATGATCTC